TGGACTGAATGAGGGCGAGACAAGGACGCCTGAGTACGGTGGCCCTGAGGTGCAAAATACATGTGACAAAAAACAACAACATTTCATGGAGTACAACAGCAAAACAGAAAACACAACATTTTATAAAACACAACTACCTTTCACTACATTTCATAAAACACATTTCACATAATTGCAACAACAAATTAGAAAACATATTTTAGAAAACACAAAACACAACATTTCATAAAATGCACCAGCATTTGCAAAATACAACACATAAAAAAACACAGTATTTCTGAAAAGACATCAACATTTCATAAAACACTTCAACAGCAAACCAGAAAACACGATTAAGTTTCACAAAACAGAAAAGGGAGGAACGCTTCTTGTTTGTGATTGGACAGAACCCAAATCTCTCTGCCAATGGTTCCATATAATTTGCTGTTTGTGTTGCGTGCTGCTGTCAGCAGTGTCCTTGTGTGAACTTTAAACTGAGTTTGAAAGGCAAGGAGAGGATTCATATCATAAAGTAATGTTTCAACCAACGATATTCATAAGATGTAATTCTCAACATGATTTCAATACATAATGACATTAAACTGTCCCTTTAGACCTTTAAAAACAGTTCTAAAAGAGTCAGGACGGCGGAGACAGGACAACTTCTCTTGACATCAGTGCCATCAGAAGGGCCTTCTTATCAGGTGATTTTTAAGAAAACATGACGTCTGCGTTCAAAGGGAAGCGGTCATGTGGATGCTTTGATAACTGAACCCATGTAGAACCTTGTCGTGACACGTCATTGGTTTATTGGACTGGTGTAGAACATTTCTGTCAAGACACCTGCTTTCAATGTCTGCTTCACCTTCTCACGCTGTCCAACGAGATTTCACGCCAAAAAAAATAGGGAGGAGGAGCTCTTCAGTTGCTGATCTGAAATGCTGTTGTAATGAGTCTAATGTTGTTGTGTTCTGCACCTCGGGGCCACTGTACCTGCATTATTCCAGACAATCAAAAGTTAAAGTAAAGTTAGAGGATAGTACAGCACAAATGAAGTTGTTCTGATCTGGGAACTTATTCAAATCTACACAACTCCATTCTGTTATTTTTTGCATTTGCATTTTGCTGTGTTAGCTGTCCCTTCACAGTTTTTAATGTCAGTGCTTTATGATATTCTGGCAAATTTACAACTCATTAAAAGTGTGCAAGCTTTGTCCTGTCTCTGGAAATCAGGAATGAAAAGAGATGTGATAGGGTGGGAACACCGGGACTACGCCTCAAATACGCGCCCTAAAATGATATAACTCATTCATCCAGAGGAAAAAAAAGACACACACACACACACACACACACACACACATGCATAAATGTGGAGAATTCTAGGATTTTTTTTTTGATTTTTTGATTTTTTTTTTGAGAAAATAAATCTTATTCTTGTTTGATCTAAATGTATTATTATCCCTGAGGCACTGTTAGTCACAAAACATGCTCATGCAGACTCAGAGTTGAAGTTCAATAGTTTATCATTTTAGGTGACACCAGAACTTTCAGAGCAGCAAATTAGTGCTCAGTGTAGCTTTAAAGAAAAAGGATGGCCAGCACTGGAATGTTGTTTTGGCAAGTGGCAGGCTGTGTGAGTTTGTGGGCTAAGGTGTGCTCTTGAATGTCATTTGCCAAAGGGTATAGCATGACGGTAAGGTGGGACTTTTTTTTTTCTCTCTGAGAAAATGTTAGAGCAGTTTATTACCTTTATGAATCACTCACAGAATCATACAAAGCTCTGAGAGTTACAAGATGAGCTGCATTCATTGTTGTCCCCCCAAAAAATTCTTCTACTCTCACTCATCCACTGCAAGTCTGCAATTAGACTTGAGCTAATGGAAAACAACTGTTTGCAATAAATCAAAACAGCAAACACACCATAATCTGTTGCTCCCTCCTCTGCTTCTAACGCTTTCACTATATGCATATTTGCAATCCCACACACTTACAAACACACACACACGTTACATTCCTCAATAGCTGCACAGTCAGGAGGGTGTAGGGTGACTGTCCTCAAACTGCAGAGTCTGAGTTCAAACATTTGCACATTACTTACTGTTATTGTCAGAATTTATGCTTGCGAACCGTGTTACGCCAAAGGCAGACAGACGTACTGGCCTGAGCTGCTTCTGCATGCTTGTAAAGTGTGAGACATGATCAGTCTTGACTCAAGTGGATATTACTGTTGTTGGTATTCCATTTATGAAGTCTGCTCATTCTTTCTCCTCTTCTTAGGAAAATTATTCTTTTCTGTGAAACATTTGTGCTGCTGTTTAGAGTAAAACAGGCTGCGATCTCACGATCAAAATGTTTGTCACTTTAAAGGTCAAAAAAGTTTGCTCTGTATCGCTCGGCACGATCCATAAAATCTGCAAAGATCTCTTCCACAAGTGACTGTTCCCTACCTTTTCAACACACCACCTTTGGGCAGTCAGCTTTTTCTGTTAAAGCTACGACTTAGTGGAATGCCCTGCTTGATGACATTAAGAAATGTGTTTCTCTCGGCTATTTAAAAAAAAAAACTGAAAAACTTGCTAAAGGACACTCAGAACTGCAACCATTAATGCCTTTTTGTGCCCTGCATTGTGTGTGAGTGTGTGTTCGTATCTGCTTCTAAGAGTGTGTGTAATGTTGTGTTTCACTGTGTCATGTATTTTATAGTCCAGCTTTTTTTTTTGGTAACATTTTAATATGGTAGTGCCAAGGGACTGCAGATGGAAATTAGCCTAAAGCTAACTCTAGTGCAATACGTCAAATGGTAGCATTTATGTTTAACACACAAGTCCAAGACAGACATGCTCACTCTGTGAGGCTTTACCTTTTGTAAATGCAACATGCATCAGGATGCTAATACAGTCACAGCAACTGTACTAGCATACTCATATTTTGTTCAGGTTTACCTGCTAAAGTGCTAAACATAGAGCACAGATGAGGTGGTAGAAATGTCTTGAGGTTTGCAGGTTAAAAACTGGACAGGTTAACTGGACAAACAGCAATCCATCTAGTGCTTGAGATATTTCCCTTTGAATCAAAGTCTTTGCCCTGCCTTCACCCTGAGTCAGCTGGGATAGGCTCCAGCCCCACAGGCTTCCTCCCACACAATCCAGAAACATGTTGAGGTTAATTGGTGATTCTAAATTGTCCGTAGGTGTGAATGTGAGTGTGCTTGGTTGTCTGTCTCTAAGTGTAGCCCTGTGATAGACTGGTGACCTGTCCAGGGTGTCCCCTGTCTTCGCCCTAAGTTGGCTGGGATAGACTCCAGCCCGCTGCGACCCTAGTGAGGATTAAGCGGTGTATAGATAATGGATGGATGGATGTTTTAGGGCGTGGTCAGGTCACAATCAGTGTGTGGAATCTTCTCATTTTCTCAGTCAGATCCACTATATTTCTGGTTTCAAAAGAGCAAGTTGGGAATGGCCAAATTTCAAAACACAGGCTTCAAAACATTAGTCCATAAACCAACAAGTGACACAACGGTTGATACGTCTGTCTTTTCTGTGCAGTCTATCCTTAATACACAAGCAGCCAAGAAGCATATGGTCATATCAACCACTTTGGTGCATTTAAAATGCATTTATCCGAATTGATTTACTATCCCAAGAGTCAACCTGCTAGCATGACTTGCTCCACAAGTAAACAAATTACTGATATGTTTCTTGTTTATTCAGTAAACATACAAGATAGAAGAACTAAACTGAATTTGTGAGTCAACCTGGTGTGTGTGTGTGTGTGTGCACGTGTCATTTGTCTATGACTTTGTGGTTTCATAGTCGTCAACTACACAGTTATATTGCATACCTGAGAATTTCCACTATGCCAGGCTGCCAGCACAGGAGGGTCACACTGCCTGCACATAGGCAAAGATTGCACATCAGACTAGAAAGATGATGGATAACAACATCAACATTGTGAACACTTATCTCTGTTGAAACTCGTCCAGTGTCTTTCATCTGTGTGAAGAAAAAACCCATACAAAACCAAAGTGATTGGATTTGCGGTTTGAGAATCAGTGAATGCATGCATGCTTGCATCAAGGCTTAATGTGATCTGCACCCCGCTGTGTGTGCATATCGCTTGGCATCAGACATACTCATATATGTTAAATAACACATGCAAACCAAATAAGTGGGACATGTCTGAATAAAGAAATATGATGTCCTTTAGACAAACTGTGTGACTTTGAGCATCTGAGAGAGTAATAGTAAAATTCAGTGTGACTGTCTTTCATGAGTAGCTGTCAAACTTGTTTTTCCTGTGAGCACCACCCTTTGGCTGCAGGGAAGTGTTTAAGCAGTGTCAGTGTGAGAGAGAGTTTATTGCAGTAGAAGAGGCAGAAAAATTGTGGATAAGAAGGGTGCGCAAAAGTAAGGGCCTGAAAGGACCTACGGAGGAGCAGAAGAGTGAAATGCACCTTAGTGGACGTTGCAGTTGAAATATCAAATCACACATCACCTGCTCAGATGCATACATCATCTGTCCTTTCAGCTGTTTGCCTTAAAGCTTGTTCACATCTACAAATGTGATGTAACAGAGATTCTGCGGCAGTTTTTGCAGACAAATGTTGCAAACACATTTATTTTGGGGGAAATTGTTAATTCCTGTAGTCATTGTATTTTATGTTGATCATGTGTTACATATGCATATCCAAAATGTCCTACATTTATAACAAACAAACAAATAAATCCACACTTTCCAACATTTCCCTCACTTTCTAAAACAGTCCCCAGCTAGCAGCTCATCCTTACTTTACCAAGTATGTGCAGCTTTCAAAAAATGTCCTCACTCTTCTGAAAGTCAAACTAGTCCTCATAAAGTCACAAGTACAGCAGCCATGTCATTTCTGCCTCCAGCGCAGTTTGGATGGGAGTGGCACGCAGTTAACTACTTTTTGGCACAGAGGTGGGGTAGAGGAGGAGAGGTGTGGTCTCCAGCCTCCAAAAACAGACCTCCTCTGCATTCTGTTTGCAGTCTGCCCCAGAGGAATTGGGGAAGGCAGGTGGTCGAAGACAGACCTGAGTGTTCTCCGGTGAGTTGAGCAGAGCGGCTGTGGCCGCCACGTCCCGGTCGGTATGAGTATGTACGGGTCCCAGCAGGGCCTGAACATGGGCCGGAGGGCCGGCTCCAAGGGCGACCTGGCTGGCGGGGGGAACTACCATTACGCACGAAGCGAGGTGGTGCACGGTGGCGGTAATGGATACGACCCCTACATGGAAGGATACAAAACCTACACTTTCACAAAGTCCACTGGAATGGGGGGCGGCATGGGAAGCGGCACGATGAGCGGAGTGATGAGCGGAGCGATGAGCCAAATGGCCAGCGGGATGGAAGGAGGAACGATGAGCAGAATGAGGTATGAATTCACTTTGAGTTTATTTGAAAAGCGTTTTTCCACCTGTTGCGCATTTTGCTTCGCTCACTGCACGAAGGATGCATGTCAACCCATCAAATATTTATACAGCCTTTCGGTGTCTGTTTCACCTCCTGCAAACCCTGAACGCACTCAGTAAGCCAGAAAAGTTCTTGATTTACCAAGTAAATGCATGGACATACTGAGAGATCATATTTGGAAGAAATGCTTTTGTTGTGCAGCTTTTACTGCTCTGATCTGTCTTTGTGTAGAACAGTGTTTAATGTCTGAATGCTTCACTAAAGTTTTCTCTTCAGTCTCCTTACAAATTTAAGTAAAGCTGCAGGTGCTTAGTACCAAAGTTAGAAATGCACTGGTATGCAGATGTATTTGTTTCCTAAAGGAGTTCCTCCATTACCTGGCCCTTAAATTACATAACTGATCAGAGACACTGATAATGGAACATACCTGCTCTGTACTGAATGTCTTAATGGTGATTTATGGCCACTGTGTTCTGCAGATTTTTTTTTTTTTTAAAAGAAATTATAAATCAACTTCTTCTGTTCACAGCAGCTTCCCTCTCCGGGGAATAGTCGGATTTATAGCCCACAATGAACTGATCAGTTTTCTCTGCTGCAAACACTCACTCTGTATTCCAGAAACATGCATGTCAGTTTCAGACCTGCCACACTGTCACACACTGAGGAAATATGCCACTGTGGCACTTTAGAGAAGTGTACAGAATAACAGGATCCCAAGATGTCTGACAAGAAGACTGCTATTTCTGTTACATAATTATGTTGATGCTGCAAAGAATCAAGCAAATAATGTAGTTTGGAGGTCCACTCATTCCTGTTTCATTGAAACTGAGAAAAGTTAGACTTGTCACTAAGGAGGTTTTCAAAGTAAAAGCCTTGCATTTATTTTGGAGGGCCTAACTGATACTATTTATTGGAGGCAGATATGGATAGTAGGGTGTAAAAAAAAAAGATCAGATATTGATTTATTAGCTGATGTTTTTGATGTGGAGTTTTAGAGTTGTTTGTTAACTTTCCAGCAATGCGATACACAAACTAGCCTCAACTTCACTGCACACCCTCATCTGCTCACCTGTCATGTGTATTCTGCTGTGTGTGCTGCTGACACTGCTGAAAATGTTGTAAAAAATGGAGACAGAGCTGCTTTGCTTGACAAACTATGAGACGACACCATTTCACAACTATCCCAAACATCCTTTGCTAGATTATTTCTGTTTTAAAAAATAATACAGTTTTCATATTGGTGCACATTGGGCAACGTTTATGCTGATACAAATATATCTGTGACAGGTCAATGCATCGGTCACTTGTGCCGACAGATACATAGATTGGGTTTAATCACTTAGCGCTTATCAAAATTATTTAGATAGAATGTCTGAGCCAGTACATTGGCTGATATTAGTTAATGGCAGATATGAGTAAGTTTTGCTAGATATGTTGTTATTGGGACATATGTTGGCTATGTCCAAAATGTAAAAAATAATTTTAGAATATTAATATAATATAATAGCAGTTGGTAGCACTGTTGCCTCGCAGCAAGAAGGTCGCTGGTTGGGGACACCAGGATCTTTCTGCGTGGAGTTTGCTTGTTCTCGTGAGTGTGGGTTCTCTCCGGGTTCTCCGGCTTCCTCCCACACAGCCCAAAAACATGTTGAGGTTAATTGGTTATTCTAAATTGTCCATAGGTGTGAATGTGAGTGTGCTTGGTTGTCTGTCTCTAAGTGTAGCCCTGCGATAGACTGGTGGCCTGTCCAGGGTGTCCCCTGCCTTCACCCTAATCAGCAGGGATAGGCTCCAGCCCCCTTGACCCTAATGAGGATTAAGCGGTGTATAGATAATGGATGGATAGATGGTTAATATAAAAGTTGTATAACCTTCCTGTCCATACGAAAATCCATAATTTACATATTAAGCAAAGGCAAATGTGAGTTTTGCAAGAAGTAAGTTTAAATTCTGATTGACTTGGCTTTTTTTTTTTTATATCTAATTTAATCTTTTTTGTTAAAAAAAAAAAAAAAAAAAAAAAAAATCAATCTACTGTGCCCGGGGACTTATATTATCAGCAACTGCACATCCCTTTGCACGGAAATATCCAAAAATGTGCAGTGATATCAGGACAAGTTCTAGTCTACTCTGTCAGCTGGTACAAATAATAAGTGAGCAATCTAGATATTTGGCGCCTCAAAGGCAGGAGAAGCATATTAGTATCCCAAAGGTATCTGGTTTGAGATTAAATGCTGACATCTCCTCGTTTTTTTTCTGAGATTACTGTTTTTGTGTGATCCCTGACTAAAAAATATATATATAAATGCAAACTTAACTGAAGTTAAACTAATGTTTAGAACACAAGTTTTTTCTAATATAATCCATATACGAGCTTGAACGGTATATGCATTCCAGTGTGAGACTTTTCATGAGCAGTGAAACGCCACAGACTGTGCAGCAGGGGACTTTGGAGGTGGGCTTTATCCTGCCCAAATGCTGGAAATGTATGTGTGTGTAGTTCTTTGTGCTGTTTTTCTAATGACTGAACAAAATATTTTGGTGGGCAAGATGCACCAACATGCATATATTTTTTGTGTGACTTTAATCAGAAATTTAACTAAAAGAATAAAAAAAAAAATACTGGCTGATGAAAATATTCAGATAAAATGATCTGAGGAAATAAATTCCCCCTTTGATGAAATGCATCTCTGCTAGTGAACATATGTTGTATATCTGCACAATTGTTGAATATTTTCATTGTCAATTGTTTTGTCAAATAATTGGATTGGTTGTTGGGTCTATAAACTGTAAAAAAAAAAAAAAAAAATCCTGAAAAATGTTGATTAGTGTTCTCAAATATTTTATTTTGTCCACAACCCCAAGATAGTTAGTTTAGTGTTACAGAGGAGGAAAGAAACAAGAAAACTCACATTTAATAAGGTGAAATGATCAGATTCCACCTTCTTAAACGTGATAGTTTTCTTGTTTCTTTCCTTCAATCTTCTACAATTGATAAACACTAATAATATTAATAATTAGAAGATCCCTGGTTCAGTTAGGATGCCTAGGATCTTTCTGCGTGGAGTTTGCATGTTCTCCTTGTGCAGCGTGGGTTCTCTCCGGGTTCTCCGGCTTCCTCCCACACAGTCCAAAAACATGTTGAGAGTAATTGGTGATTCTAAATTGTCCGTAGGTGTGAATCTGGTTGTCTGTCTCTAAGTGCAGCCCTGTGATAGACTGGCGACCTGTCCAGGGTGTCCTCTACCTTCACCCTGAGTCAGATTAAGCGGTGTAAAGAAATTCCGATGGATGGATGGATGGATATTAATAATTTATAATTTGTAATTAAGTCAAATGATTGATTATCAAAATATTTAATGATTAATTTAATAACGGACAACTATTCAATTAATTAATACAAATAATGCTGCTGAAGATGATTATGAAAATGAACATTGTGGTGATGAGATGACTTTGCTGCCCCCTGCAGTGGCTCTAACTTCGGTGCCATCAACCAGAGAGCGGCGGCCCTGCAGAGCCAGTGCAACGAGTACCTGAAGAAAGCCGAATATGCCATGCAGGCTGTGAGTCATGTTTTACTTTGTCTTCCTGGTTGTCTTGCTCTATTCCTCCAGCAGTGCAGACAAAAAGTGGTCTGCGTCAGAGCTCATTCAGTATGTTTTCATTTCCAAAGAAAAAGTGTTGCATCTTTTCCTCAGTTGGCAAATAGATGGAGAGAAAAAATGACAGAGATGTTGTGTGGTTGTAATCCGAGTAGCTTGATGAATACGCCTTTTATGTTTCTGTCAGAACATGTAATAGAAACCAGGCCGATAATGAAGGCTTTTTGTTTAGCTTTCTGCTAGTTCTGGTGATCTCTGTAAACACAACACATAGTCATTTAATGTTAAGGACCTCATGTGAAGTATTTTTTGTCACCAGAGGTGCAGCTTGAATGTTGTGGGTGTGTGATTTATTAGTCTGTTGACTTGAATCACGAGCTTTCATCTGTTTCGCTTGCTAAATGACATTTGTGAAACACTGAATATCACAACCATGCCATCGTTTCCAAAGTAACAAAACTATACTCGTTCATAGTTTTGCTCAACAGGGTTTTTTCTGGGTTTTTGACATTTTTTGCCACTTCAACAAGAAGTGAAAATGACTGAAAGTGGGGCATTTACAACATATTTTGGTTTGGGTTCTTGCTCAGTTTATACATACAAAAACTAAATGTGTTTGTTGTGTTTTGTTTTTTGGACAGTAGCCTTGTACAACTCTCTGTCTGTGTTTGTTTCCTTCAGGGTAGCGGAGATTCAGAGTACTACATGGGGATGGCCAAAGATGCCATCGAGAAGCTGAAATACTGTGCGATGGACCTGAGACAAATGGGACAGCCCAATGATAATGTAGTTAGGAGGTAATGAAGATTCCCCCTGACTTCTCTGTGGCTTTCCTGCTCTTCGGATTCCCTATTTGTGTATTTCTGTAAGCAAAAGGTTATGTGGAAAACTCCTGAAAACTGTATTTCTGATCCTCTCAACCTCTAGTTTGGAAATCTGTAAAGACCAGCTGAAGGGGGTCCACATGGCCATGACAAGCTCCATGCAGAGGAGGAGAAGCACCAGAGGGAGCTCTGGAGGATGGGAGGAACCTGGAAGGAGCTTCCAAGATGCTATGAGCTGGATTGCACAGCACAAGGTATTTAGACACACGCACGCATGCAAGTCTGACCTTTACCCTAACCTGAACTTATAGCCAAAAACCTTTTTAGTTCCTCTACCTGCATTTCCACTGCAGGAATTAGGGTCAAAATAAAGTCCAAGGAAGATTGTCTTCTGCCATTTTTAAAAACCTCCTATTGTATTTTTGTGCATTGTGCTTCTACATAGCAACAGAGAGCCACAGCAGAAATCCTATAATCGTGGAACTACTGACTAAGCATTTATGTGGAGGGAAACATCCAGTAGAAGCTTGAGACAGCAATGCACAATGAGAAAGTCAATCTCAAAATTTCATTATGGTTGTTTTTCTTTGTCTTGTGCAAAAATTGCACAGTAAAAGAGCTTTTTAAAATGTCTGCTAGTTTGCTTAATCTTCACAGTGCTGTGGACATGAAGGTAACAAAGAGTTGCAGGAACTTTTAGCTCTTTGGAAACTAAGTCCTGACTGCAGCAGCCCTGCTTTCCTGTTTCTCTCCACTCAATACTAGCAAATAAATTCGAAATGCTGTAAACAATTATTTTAGCTCCCGAAAATAGTAATTCAAGATCTGATTTTGAGCATGGTTAAACAGAGTGCGTTCCTTGACGATACTTTAAGAATTTGCATTTTAGTTGTCTCAGCAAATCAGAATCCAAAATACTTACTATATTTTATACTGTTACTACATTGTTTCTAAAGATCTGTAAGCTCTAGGTTTTGGTGGTTGATGGCCACTTTAATAACATTTCAATTATACATTGTTCCTTTTCTCAAATAGTTTGACATATTAGATTCTGTTTCAAATATCTTAACAATATTGTGATTTCATGGTGACCCGATTTCTTGGTGAGCCATTAAACCAGCCTTCAGAGTATCAGTCAATATGATATCACATTTAAAAAATATTTTTATTTTGATTAATTTGGTTTGATTTTCATTTGGCATCAAAACATCTGAGATGTTTGCTGGTAAAAAAAAAACAGCTGATACACTGCAAATAGTGAAAATATGGACATAACAAAGAGAATGATGCGAAGATGGTGGCTTGATGATCTGCTCACACAACCGGAGCTTTAAAAGCCTCAAGATTGGGGTCATTTATACTCCAAAGATAGCTCTTTAGGTATTGTGTCAACTTATGAAAGAGGAAGCAGAATTAAAGGACAGCAATGTCACTGTGTGAGTCTATATGCATCAGTACCAGGTGGATTGGAGGCTTTCGGCCACTGCTCCTGGTCCTCCTGTGTCTGGTAACTTACTGACAGATCTACTTAAACCAGAATCCTGTTGAAACACAGTGTTGGAACAGAGTTTAAGGATGAAAGCATTCCTCTGCTATGTGTTGTTGCAGACACACTGGATTGAAAGGTGACTGAGTGCCTGTCATGGTAATAGGAATTAAAGGAGGGTTTTGTTTTGTACCTGATGCTAATTCTTTTTTTTTTCTGGTGCATTCCTGAGATGTTTGACCAAAGTGGTTCACAAAAGAGTTACCAGTCCAGCTTGTTTCTCTGCCACCACTTACAGGTGACATCCAGTGCAAATCTGTTTGGAAAACACTTCAAACTAATTATCTGTGCTGATGGTTGTGGGGCAGTTGTTCGAGGGGCTTTGCTGCCTGTCTCAGATGGTTTTAGCAGCACCAATGTGTTTATTTTAAACTTCTGCTGTAAGGCGCTGCCTGCTGATTACGTAACATTTCTGTGTTGCAGCGTCTGATTGAAACAGCTCCCTGGGGAGACGATCCTGCAGCCATCGAGCAGCAGCTCATCAGCCACCAGAAGTTTCACGCCTCCATCCAGAGGAGCCCTGAAGTGGACCGAGCCAGAGATGACCTGGTGGGTTCAGTCTGCAGTGGACTAGCAGCCACGTTATCATTGCTGTTTGATGAACAATTGTTTTTTAGTCCAACTATTATTTAAAAAACCAAAAAAACCAAAAAAAACTGTTTCATTAGATGAGGTGTATAAGGTAGAAAAAGAGTTTAAATCTTCTTCTGTAATCGGTGTTGACAAAGTGAAGGAGCTCATTTTAAATCACACAGACCTGACCAGTCTGTGAAAGCTATTTATAATTTCAGATATTGGGTAATATGTCGGGTTGCATGGTGGCTCGGTAGTTAGCTCCGTCGCCTCACAGCTAGCTGGTTTGTGTCCCAACCTGGGCCTGGGATCTTTCTGTGTGGAGTTTGCATGTTCTCTTGAGCGTGGGTTCTCCGGCTTCTTCCCACAGTCCGAAAACAGGTTGAGGTTAATTGGTGATTCTAAATTGTCCGTAGGTGTGAATGTGAGTGTGCTTGGTTGTCTGTCTCTATGATGTGCCTGAGTTGGCTGGGATAGACTCCAGCCCCCCGTCGACCTTAGTGAGGATTAAGCGGTGTATAGATAATGGATGGATGGATGGTAATATGCCCTGACAACAGACTGAACCTCATTCACGGTGATGACTCTATCTGACAGAAAGCTAATCAGAGATTATTTCTTATCAGGAAATTAAGAGGCTTTGGAGTTTCTAAAAATGCTTTGGAAATATAAGCCTGATTGAGAGCATCCTGGTGTTTAAAGCCCCTCCAGTAAAAATCTCATTTTGACCTTGTTAACATGTCTATGTGGTGTTTTTATAGGCTGGTAGACATATCGTGAGCAAAACAAACAGTCAGTGGTAATATCTGCTTTAGCAAAAGGCAACTGTACTTGTTTTTTTTTTCCACCATCATCCAAATGGTTTCCTCAGTTGTAACTGACTGAGTCACTGGTATTTATTCCCACATCTAAATCACATGACTCATAGCCTGTTATGAACCTATGGGTGTGTTCCAGTATCCATACTATAATAGTATGGCAGACAATGATTTAGTGTGTCCCAATACATAGCATGTCAAACCCAGTATGCCAAGAATACCAGGATGTTCTACTCCATCCAGTCAGATTTTGCAGTAAGCAAAGTCAGCATACTTGTCTGACCCACAATCCTCTGTTACTCCACATATGGATCTCATGTGATTATTGACAAGATTTGGTTTGAGTGCATAGAAAGGTCACAGCTTATTTTGCACTATAGGGGAAAGTGTACGGTGCAGTATTATGCCAAAGAAGTATGTTTCACTTGTATGCATAATGCACAGAAGACTACGTATTTTGTAAACACAGTTGTCGTACATATTTAAAGTAAAAAGACAAAGTATGTGATTTGGAACGCAACTCAAGACTCATGTACCTTGCAGTGTGAATGGTGGTAAAACTATCAGTGGAGGGATCTTAAGACTATGTTATAAGAATCTGATAAGTGGTGATGTAGACCCCTCTACTGTTGAAATGATTGTTTTACAACTTAGAACTCAGGATGCCTCTTGAATAAGAGGTTAAATATATTCAAGAACCAAAAAGAGAAGAGTAGTTGCCTGTTACTGAAGCACATAGAATTGCTATGACCGGGGTGCCTGGGAACCTACACTGAGCAGTCATCACCATTGTTGAGCATTTCCACCTTAAATGGCAGTGACCAATGCCAGTCTCAAAAATACAGTTTCATACATAACAAACCAAGGAAACAAGCCTGTCAACTTGTAGTGTGCAGCTTTCTTTCTTTAATTATTGTTTTTCAGATTCAGTTTATGGTTCAAATGCAACCTGAAGTAGCTCCAAAAAGATGTTTCAAACCTTCCTGGCTTTTGGCTATTTTATTTTGCCCTTATTTTTAAATTTGTTTATTAGCTTAATTTATACTTTTTGCTATTTAAAAAAAAATGGGGAAAAATATGCGGGACTGATTTAGCAGCTTGTCATCTGTAAAATATTTTGAATTGCACTAACTTATACAAACAGGGCTTTACAAATAAAGTGTGATTTATTCATTTCTCTCCCTCCCTTTAGGCTAAGAAAGGAGACAAAGGAAGTCTTCACGCTCTGGAACAGGAATGGGACAGTCTACAGGTGAAAGAAACTAAACGCTCATCACTACCTGTGTATTTTTGGTTAATTGTCAGGCTTGTATTTAAAGTGATTTTTTTTCCCCCTTGCCAGCAAATGTCTTTTGGTCGGACCCAGCAGCTGCGAGACCTCCTGCATCTCATTCAGGAAATATCCAAAGAGATTATGTGGGTGAATGACAGGGAGGAAGAGGAGCTGATGTTTGACTGGGGGGACAAGAACATTGACCAGTACATCCCCAAGAAGCAGGAGAGCTACTCGGTTAGTAAAATACAAAATCGCTGGGAATCGGTAGAGAATTGGGTTCATTTAGAGAAATTTGTGTTTTAATTTCAGTTTTTAAGAGCTTCACCATAGTCGATTAACATTCTTGGCAATCCTGTGAGCCTAAATTGCACTAATGTCTTTTATGAAGTTAATCTGCATCTCATAAGGGAGCAATCATCTGTGCCAGATTAGATTTTGGCAGCTGCAGTCAGTCATCCACTTAGAGCAAAGCCACAGAGGTTTTCCTTCAGCTGCATGCGGATGTTTTTCTGTTTCCCCTGTGATTACTAAACCTCTTCTTATATAACAGAAACTGATGAGTGCCCTGGAGGATAAAGAGATGGAACTGAATAAACTGAAAACCAAAGTGGATAACGTCCTGAAGAACAACCACCCGGCCGCAGACAAGATTGAGGTTCGGACTGATCAGATCAATTTTAGCAATATGAGATGAAGTCCCAGTAGAACCCTCAACAGTTTCTTTATTTCTATCTCTTTTTGTGTGCTTGTGCATTTCTCCAGGCTTACAAGGACACTTTGCAGACTCAGTGGAGTTGGCTACTTCAAATTACAAAATGCATTGATGTCCATCTGAAGGAGAATGGAGCTTACAGCCAGGTAACGTAAAGCTGTTTTATCATGCAGTTTATAAGCAATGGATGAAATGACCATGTGTGACACACAGAGAATTATCAAAGGCCCTCCACTAACCTTATTAGCATCTTTCATCTCATTGCTTTGGTTTATGGCCACGACCTAACTGTTTTAAGTCAGTGACACAACTGTCATCAGTGCTGTTTGTAGCAGACAGCTGTTGAAGTGATAAAAGCTCTAAAAACCCACTGTGTGCTACCTGTTCAGTCTTCGGGGTTCCTACACTGTATGGAGAAGTATAAAGTTTGACTTCAGTAATTTCCTGCTTGGATAAGTTTGGAAAAAACAAAAGAGACAATGGAAAATATTTGTGTTTCCAAACTTTTGCCTCTATTCTGTTTTCTAAAATATAACATTCAGAATTTTTAAAAATAAATTTATCATGCAAGAAGAACATTTTTCATGGTGTTAGAGCAAGCAGCCAGCAAAGCTACTACTACTACTACTACTACTACTACTACTACTACTACTACGACTATAAGACCATGCGAGAGAGTGTGAGTCAGAGAGAGCTTGATGTCATCAGCAATGCCACTGAACACACACTCCTACACAACCCTGCCCAGAGCGCCTTATACCTGCACCAAATCCAAACATCTATGACCAAAGTAGTTTAAAAGAAAATGACGCAAAATACAATTTGAATTGCATTACATAGCAACATATATAACCAAATATTAAGCTTATCTAAACATTCTCGAGTTATGCAGTAATGAAGATTTCAGTAACAGTTTATGGACACAGTGAATAAGACTGCACAGACACCATGAACATCAAATTATTTAACTGTTTTCAACTCATGATTATGTCTAATTTATAAGAGACTTAAAATTATAGGAGGAACAAAAATATGTTATTTATTCAACATGTTAAAGCAAAACTATTGTCAGTATAGGGAGCAGCGACCCTCTTTGGGCAAAGACGTTGCTCTCTCTTGTTGCTTACTGTTTAAGCGCTGCAGCCTGAGAGCTGTGCATTGAACTTGTCTGGATTTGGTGTTAGTTGAACCGTGTGAGCTACAGTACCTAGAGATACAAACTTTCTACAAATTCTGGCAATGATTAGGCAAAATGGTGGTATGTACAGTCAGAGTGTAGCACACATGTTAACCGTTGGATTGTAGTTTTGCTCCATGTCTGCTGTGTGTTTAAATAAGCCACTGTTTGCCAATATGTTCGCCATTCCTTCTGTATAAGTTGGTAGTATGTCAGTGTTGTACTTACAGCTTGTTGCAGTGCCCTGACAAGGCCAAAAAAGAGCAACTATTGCCAGTTGTTTAAACATTGTGATGAACACTTCAGGACCTCCTGGCAGAGTTATCTAATTGTTTCTGCAACATGGTGATGCTCCTCACTGTTTAGTTTCATAATGTAGGGTTTTCCCAGGTATAGAAGGAGCAGAAAGAGAGGCAGAGCTGTGTTTCTGTCATTATACTGTCCTGTATTTATTGAACAAAAAAACACATCAAATTGATGCTTTACTTCAAAAGCACATGTCGTACTTGTGTTTAAATTGCAAACTGAGGTCCATCTGTGGTCTTATGTTTGAGTAAGGGGTTTAACAAGCAGAACTGCTTGCACTGCTTTGATTTAACACTGAATAGTTCTTTTAAATCTCGATCTGATTGACATTTTGGCTCAGCTTGACTAATCTTAAAGCATAGGCAGCTTGTAAATTATATTAATACAGGGATGAGCCAACTAGTTTAGACGTAGACAGTCTTCATCAGGGTGTAAAGTGCAACGGGAACAAGTGTAACGTACATTTTTTTATGCCGTCATGTCAAACAAGTCACTTATGTGCCACCTAGCACTACCTGATAAAATACAGGTACACTCAACCCTCCCTCCCAAAAAAAACTAAGCAAGTACTGTAGAACTCCACCAGTAATTCATGGCACCGACTGCTCTCAAAAGTGATGATGGTAGACATAAACAAAATTATCACCAACATCCTAAATATAGTGAAACAACATTGTATTCCTCATGAAACATATTGTGATGAAAATTAAAAATCCACAATTTAATTTCCAGTGTGTCACTGGCATTATGTTAAGCAATTCAAACTGCCTTTATGTATGAAATAGGCTACACAAATAAAATGTACTTGTTTTGATGTTAGCAGAAGTGGTCATAATTTCAAGCTCTCCTTGGTATGAAGCACTAAGAGATCCTGTGCTGAATACTTCATAATCTGTTTTACTTTTCCAAAGACTTATGCAGAAATATGTGTTTTTAATAGTTCTTCAAGGAAGCCAATGAAACATACAGTGCTCTGCAAAAGGAACATGAGACGGTTCGCAAGAAGTTCACCTGTGACAAGAACACTTCTCTGGAGAACCTGCTGGACCTCCTCAGAGGCCTGGAGGTATGACAGCTTCTTATGACAATAACAGAGCAGCATCAGTGACCTCTGATCATCAGACTTTAGACATTTTGTAAAGCAAAACTAAGTTGAGTAGTCAACAGATGTTTATTTTTCATTATATTTGTAAGCAGAATAAGTTCTTAACCACGGCAGGAAAATGTTATATCTCAAGCACCAGAAAGAAGTTCATAGAAGGTCTTTTACAAGCAGGAACTTTAAGAGTTCATTCTGCAGGACTGCATTCACTTGCAAATACACACCATTCCTACAAAAATATGAACATGCATCTTACTGATTACTCAAAGAAATAAAACTGTGACTGTTCACAAGCTAGCTGTTACAGTTTAGTAATATTATACCTATTACTGATGTATAAACATTTCTTATTTTCAGAGGGAAAAGGAGAAGATTATGGAAAACAAGAGGCAGGTGCAACACCTGGTCAACAAGTCAAGGAGCATTGTGAGACTGAAACCCAGAAACCCTATGGAGAAGAGCAACAACGTCATCGTCAAGGCCCTGTGTGATTTCAAACAAGACCAGGTCAGTTTTCTCATAATCATGTCATAGTCACACACAGCACAACCTGTTCAGGATGTTTACGCCATCTCCTCTTATATTAGTAGCAGTGTACATTCAAGTAAGGACTAGGGCTGGGTACTGAAGCCTGATAATCGAAGAGCCCCAGGGTTGAATTATGAAGACTGCAGGGTTGATAAGCTCCAATGTGATCAATTTGGCTTTGGCTACTGGAGAAATTGAGAAAATATTTTTATTATATATTGTTACCACATAAACATACATATTTCTTTAATTCGTCTATGATGTATTTTCCCCATGCCTAATCCAGGAGAGAGTTCAAGCTCTCAGAGCCTGTGTGTGAGGGTTAGGGTTGGCAACTCTCTCTGTCACATACTGTAGCGTGTTTTGCTTGTTAGAGCAGAAACACAGTCAGTCTGTGGAGGCATCCAGTAATATTTCCTCATATACAGAAATGCACAGTTTTCCTCTGCCCAGCTCATAGCTTGTGTCATTGTCCCAGATATTCAATTCAATTCAATTCAATTTTATTTGTATAGCACATATTTACAACAACAAGTCATCTCATAGCGCTGGAGATATGTTGCGTATGCTCTTAGCCCATGGAGTTAAGTAAATTATATGAACATGTTTAAATGATTAAAAGTAACCATTAGCCAGCTGATAGTTGAGCCATGGGTGTGTTCATTATTTCTATCTGAGACGGTCAGAGCACCATCTGAACTGTTGTTCAGAAATTCATTTGCAGGTTCGGTGATTTGGGGGCTGCAGACAAACTGAAAGTACTCAAAACGTTTTCCTTGATGAAACTATATAACACAGTTAATGTACTGTCAAATGAAAAAATGATATTTCTCACTTAAAAATGAGGAAAGAAAGAGAGGAAATTAAAAAATGAAATAAAAAATGTTAATTCTTTTCTGAGTTTGTTCTTTTTTTTTCACTTGAGAAGTAACTGTAACTGATGAGAGTACTGTCAAGTACTGGATCACAGATGTACCATAAGTCACAGTAACAGTAATGTAAAAATCTTCACAAAACGCTTTTCAGAGTAGGAATTAGTTTACTGGGAATTTATTGTTTTCCCTTGAGCAAAACTCACAAGTTGAAATGTTTAGATACTGACTTCAAGACTTGTGTTTATAACTAAGATAACTTTTCACTGGGCTCCACAGAAAGTGATCTGTAAAGACAACGAGGCCATCCTGAAGGACAACAGCCAGCGCAGTAAGTGGCAGGTGACCGGACCAGGAGGACTGGATATGCTGGTGCCCTCTGTTTGCCTGATTGTGCCACCTCCTAATCCACTCAGCATCAGCCTCGCCAGCAAGTAAGAAACACAGTTGCTTGTTTTGGCACTCAATGATGATTATATATTAAGTCTGGGGGGAAGGACAAATTAAAACCATGTGCAGCTCTTCGCTGGCAGTAAAGGTTTAAATTTTGTCGGTGTTTGTGTTGTTTGAAGGAACGAGCAGTACTATGAGGCCATCCTGTCAATCTGGAACCAGCTGTACATCAACGTTAAGAGTCTCGTCGCCTGGCAGTACTGTCTGCTGGATATCAAACGCATCAACTCTCTTACCATCACCATGGTAAGGAAGAATTAATCTCTCTGTTGTCAGTGATGAATATGTTTATTGACGAGACAAACAAAACAAAAAAGAAAAGGTAGACAACATTCAGTATGTGAGCCCTTTCAAAGAAGGAACAGAAAATTACACCTAGAGATAATATAGCAGTAAAGGAGTCCCTGAGGTGGAGGAGAATTATGCAGTTTTTGTGAAATAAACAAAGAAATAGAAATTTAGGAAGTTTGCCAAGAGTTAGAAGAGAATATCTGCAGAATTAATATGATGCTAGCGCCATTTGTTAAGTAGTTTAGATTATTATAAAGATAGTAAACAAGAGGAAAACAAATGAGATTGTATGTAATTAATGAGATTTACAGGTTAGACTACCTGTTTCCCCTGTTTTACTGCAGTACACATGCATGAAAGTGACAGACAATTCAGTAACTTTCTGTTCAGCTACTTTCCATGGAAGTTATATCTCATGCATTCAGCACAGTATGTCTTATCAGAAAATTAAAGACAGCAATATTTATGGTATACTGCAGTGTAGGTGTATGTTCATAGCATTCACAATATACACACTGACTGCTTACAGTATACTATTGCTAAGAGATGGATGCAATTAAAATGATTAGCATTACAGATTCCCCTGACACTAATCTACAGAGCAGGATGAGAAGGAGTATTGGTGCTCACAGAGATAAACCCACATAGATGATACTAATGGGCATGTTGGTCAGAGAAAAGAACATCTGTTGCTTCCAACAGCTGCATATCTCTCCTGCGGTGCTCAAGGCTATAAACAGACATTTACCTATTCTGAGTTACCTCCTCTTAATTCTCCACTTTGCTACTTGAGTGAAATTAAAAACAAAATGGAAGTTTTTCTACAGCTTCCCTATTAGTGTCATAAATTTGTATGCTTACCTTTCACGTCAAGATTTATTCCTCTGGTTGTTTAGATCTAAATCAAACATAATGTTTGTGTGTGTGTGTACAGTTGGCCAGGATGCGTCCTGAGGAGTACCGACAAATTATCAAGAGCCTTGAGACTCACTATGAGGAGTTCAAACTGAGCAGCCACGGCTCCCAGATGTTTGCTGATGAGGACAAGAGGAGCATTGAGAGCCAGTTTACTGGAGCGCAAAATCACTACGACCAGCTGGTGGTGCAGCTGCCTACTTACAGTCAGTATATGTGGAAATCATTACCTATGAATTAAGCTATACTGTAATAGCAGACACATACATGCACAAATGTATTTTATATTGTGTTCATAATTAATAGTGTTCAGTAATAATGAATAATATTGGAATTACATTAAGAATACATATTTATAATATATATGATGAGCCTGAATTTCTCTCATGGGCAGTCAATAAAATTTGACATTATCTTATCTTAACAAACCAATAGTACAATTCAATTAAAGCTATGACATCAAAGCACAAGAGGATGATTTTCTTGAGAAAATAATAGAATTTTGGTTATTGCAACTATATGTGTTTTAGTTTGTTGCATAACTGTATTGATGACACTGAGTCTTTCCTGTTAGTGCAACAATATTACAGATGTTCAGGCCACGAATTACTATGTTAGATTCACAGAGACAGATTTCATTGTAATGTGATGTTTGCTAGGTTAATGTAAATGTATTTAAATGAAAACTACGTTTATATCTGTAATCACTCTCGGCACTAACACCATTGCTACGTATAATTAAATATATAATATTTTAACAAAAACTTGTAGTGTGCATCAGAATAAAGTTGAAAAAAAAAATTAAAAATGCCATATGTTACACTGTTAAGAAGTCCTTAAAAAAAGTTAATCTAATGCTAAAAACTAACTTTGAAAATTTGCTAGAATTTTAGCAACTATTATGCAACCTATTCTATGTCCTGGACTTAATGTAATGATGTGAACATAAATACTAACACCTGCCCTGTGAAAAAACTATATCGCTTAAATGTGTGAGAGTACAGCATATCATATTCTGTCCACATTTAGATCAAGAGAATTTAAATTCACGTTTTATCCATTACGTGTTTTCCACAACTGTACATCTGCTGTTTCTCCACAGTTGCACATCAAGAACAAATAGGAATCCAAGCAGTTGAGCAACCACGGCAACATCAGCTGTTTATAATACAGCAGCAGCATCAACAGGTTGCCGTTGAAGAAGAGACCAGGAGACTTGAAGAAGAAAGACAGAGAGTGGAGCTTAAAAAAATGGTGGAAAGAAAAGCTGCTGCCGAGCAAGAGGCGAGGAGGCTTGAAGAAGAAAGACGGAGAGTGGAGCTTAAAAAAATGGAGAAGAAAGTGGAAGTGAAGAAAGAGGTGGTGAATAAAGAGCACGTGATCAAGAAGGATGTAGTGAAAGTGGTCAGGACGGAGCCGGTGAGGAGGAAGGTGTCCTCCTCCTCTGTGTCCTCAGTCTCCTCCTCGTCATCTCACAGTCTGTCAGAGCTGCATTCGCTCAGACTGAGGCTGGAGGCTGCCGAGAGCATGTTGAGTCAGCACCTTCATGTCTGTGTTGGCGAAGACGCCGTGCATGACTGTGGCCTCAAAATCGTTCAGTTAGAGGTACACACATACTCGGAAGTACACATAAACAGACAAGCACATAACATTACAAACACCAACAATAACAACTACTTTTTTCTTTCAGACGGTGCAGCGTGATGTAGATGGGATGCGTGACGAGTACCTAAGTTTGAGGGAGCGTATTTTGAGGGAGCTGGAGGGCATGACTGATTCAGATAAGGCGCAGTTCCTCCGCAGTGAGGTTGGAGTGATCAACCAAAGACTGGGCAGTCTGGAAAGCAGCTCATCAGCTTATGTACAGAGGTATGTAACACGATCAAACTGCTATTATCATGCTTTGTTTATTCAGAAAAGTAAAGGACCTTGTTAGCAAGAAAGACCTAAGATTGCATTACGTACTTTACATTATATACTAATCATAAAAGTCACTAATGTACTTGGGCACCCTGGTTACTTAACTACAAACAGCTTCTACTAATATTATTAATATAGTTGTTATAGCTAGCTTTGAATTTGACTAAGAATGCAAAATTTCCAGAAGTAGTATCAGAAACATTATCCTATTGAATATCTCCAGAATAATCCAGACTAGGTAATGCAGTGGGCTGTATAATATTTTCACAACAAAAACATTTTTGTTCATAAACGTTTCAAATTTGTTGAACGAACTGCTCTCCAGCCAAACAGCCAAGAAGCAGAATTCCATATCATTACTTGGATACAATGTAAAGTCACGTTAAGCATATTTGAGCTCTTCTTAAATGCATGTATCTTGCATTGGTTTTATTTGGAGTTTGGAACAGGTTTGAAGGTCTGAAGGTTATTGAAGGCAACCTTTAAGCTATAGACGCCCTGAGCAGCATAAACATGCACATTACCAATGCTGAATTGTATAAGACATATTTTGTATGTCCAAAGTAGCAGAGAACCTGGTATTGATCCTTATAGGAAACTGTAATGAACATTTTGGACTTGACCGGAAACCACTGGCAAAAAACTGACTTAGACTGAGAAAAGGCAAATCCATGGAGAGCCACTTATCTTAAAAAACTGCAATTTGTGCAATCAAACAGTATCAAATACTTCAGGAAGAGTCACAACACATAACACGGTGTTGCTTTTAATGAGGTTGTCAGATGTAAAACCCAATTGCTGTGGCTGGAGGACATGATTACCCCCCAGGCAGCCTATCGTTTCTAGCCAGTTTAAACACTGAGTAAAGCTTAGTAAGGCAATAGTTATTTAAGTTGCCACCACTGTGCTAAAATGAACAGAAGCATCACAGGTTTCATTAAAAATATATAAAGATGATGCTGTGACCACTGCTGTTTTGAAGCCTCAAAGTTGTCTCTCCAGGAGTTTAAATGAGTGAAAGGTACTCTTACAACATAATAAAAGTATCGCATCTCATCTTTTAAAAATGAATTTCTCCATCTCTTATCTTTATCAGGCTGCGGGCTCTAAGGGACATGCTGGAGAGCGTGGCACGAGCTGAGGACATTGTCAAAGTTCACGAAGCAAGACTGACCGAAAAAGAGACCACATCTCTGTCTCCAAGGGAAGTGGAAGAATATACGTTGACCCTGAAGGTATTTTATTAAATATATTTTGCAGTCATCGAATCTTAAAAAAACTACATCAGCAACATCTGAGGGTTTTACATAACTTTTAATATCTTTTACAACTGTGGGGAAGAATTACTGTGAAGAATCACTTCTCAAACCTACTCTAGCCATTTCTAATTATCAGTACCAGAATACCAGCGCATATTAGCACATGGCTTAGTGGTCACACATTAGTTTGAATAAAAAAACTTGTTATTTTAAGGCCAGCAAATCCTGTTCTTTTGTTGTTTATTATATATTATAGTATATGCTATACAATGTGCTTATTGAGTTGCTTTTTATTATAAAGGAGATGTCACTTTTGACTGTTTATTCCCATGTGTTGTTGATGTGTAGACTATCAAAGCAGAGCTGGATCAGAAGAAAGATGTTCTGGCCTCTATGGAGAAAGAGTTGTCCAAGGCAAGCCACTGGAACAGTCAGGTGGGAGATCCCTTCCACAGGTGTGACATGATGCTATCAAAATACACTGAGCAGGTGGGCGTCCTGTCAGACCGCTGGAGACGAATCCAGGGACAGATCGACACCAGGTATGTCTCTCTCTTATATCCATTTTATAACAAAGACCAACGTCAGAGTTTCCCTATAACTGACTGAAACACCAACTTGAAGATCTGATGTTAGCATGGGTCTCAGCTCTGGCAGCATTCAATACTTTTTTCTACTTTGTGGTTGCCCATTTAATAATTCTCGCCATGTCAATAAACTGCGAGGCTGTCACTTCACATGTAAATCTGGAGCCTCTTTCACAAACGTAGTTTGTGAGCACTGCCTAAACCCAGATCTTACTAAATAAGATAACAGAAAATGAATCAAAAAGAGTTTATCAAGTAAAACAGTTTTTGCAGTTTTTCAAAAGTTATTTTTTTTTTCTGTTTATGTCATTGTAGCTTAAATGCCTTTTGATTTTAGACTATTGGTTGATAAAAACAAATGACTGATTAATAACTAGTTGCAAGGTGAATCCATAATGAATCTAGGCATTTGTTACTGCCCAAGACATGGAACAATTGTTTTTGTTTTACCAGCCTGCATTGGATTGAAGCCTTGTTTTAAAGGGAAGTCACTTAGAGATATGATGTTCTCTTTTGAAACTCTTTTTTTTGTTTTCTCTTACTCAGACTCCAGGATTTGCAGTTGTATCTGCCTCAGCTGCAGCACTACAAGCAAACCAGCTCCTCCCTTCTTGACTGGATTGATGACACATCGAAAAGACAGAACGCTCTACAGTCTACCAAGATAGAGAATGTCCAAGCGCTTAAAGACCACATTGCCAACCAGAAGGTCTTCTGTTCAGCACTTCATTGCTATTCATGAGCTTCTTTATTGCACTGACTTGGTTCTACTTCCATGCCTGTTTAATGATCAGATGTCTAACTTCTTTGGTTGCTTTCTCAAGGCTTTGAACACAGAAATCAAGGCGAGGAGGGAGACAGTAGAGAGTGTGCTGAAGGACAATGAGGAATGTGTGAATGCTATCAAAGTAAGTAGGTCATAGTACAATAAATAATCGACTTCAGATTCATAAAGTAAATTAATATTCTGCTTTCCTGCTTGTATTTATTTATTTATTTTTTTACAGGACTATGAAACGGACCTCTCCTCGTACACATCTGGTTTAGAAACTTTGCTCAATGTCCCCTTAAAGAGGACAATGCTGAAGTCTCCTTCAATGGATCTTAATCAGGAGGTATTGAAACCAAAACAGTCTCATTAAAAAAAAAAACACACACACACACACACACACAAAAAAATCCCAAAAAACAGTAGTAACTTTGGGCATTTTGTGACCCACTGGTAACTGAAACCCTTTTATTTCTGTAGGTTAAAGGAGGTGATTATTCAATGAACTTCCCCTAATCAGTGTAGTTATGAGACATTGTATCTAAATTTGTCTTTGTTCTAGGCTATACAACTGCAGACTCGTTACATGGAACTGCTTACAATGTCTGGTGACTACCACAAATTCCTGGGCGAGTTGCTGAAAAACATGGAGGAGCTGAAGGTACAGATCTTCTATGCTTGATTTGAATGCTCGCTGTATATGGGTTTGTGCTGTATCTTATTTTGTGTGTATTACATTTTTGCTTTCTATGTTTTATTTAAACTTACATTAATCATGAAAAAAATGGTGCAGTTTCTGGGAGTTTTTTGCTGTTGCCACCTTTTTACTCACTGTGGAGTCATTTTTCCCTGCAACATAAAGACCTGCAGCTTTATAGAAACAGTACAACAATGAATAGAAGTAGAGAAAACTCAAAAATGTCTTCTGTGCAGTGTTACAAAGCTATATCGTCAAAATCATAAAAACAAAAGTTTAATTTCTTGAATAATTTATTTCACAAAAATGAAAAAATACCTGGAAACAACATGTGCAACATTTTCCCAAATGGTTGCTCCACAGGCTATAAACCCTTTACTGTTTATATTTTTACAACCTCTATAAGCGTTCTTCACACTCTTTGCACGTCAACACTATACAGATATATGACCATTCTGAATGTAAGCTAAGTTTCATCCTCCAAATCCCAATTAGTTTCTTGGCTTTATTTATTCCTGTCACATTTCTACTCACTGTGGGCTTGTTGTTCACTGCAATATAAAGTCCTGCACCTCTATGGAAACAGCACAACCGTGGCTAGATGTCGAAAAGCCATGACAGACTAAGTTCTGACTAATGGTCATATGACAAAAATTCAAAAATTCAGGTGAATGGCAGTCTGTGTTTACACAGAGCAGAGAGGAGACGGCAGGCAAGATTTCGAGGAAAATAAAAACGTACTTGATCGACAAAATAAATGCAGCATGGCTCAAAAACAGTACGCAGAAGATTGTCAGGTAGTTGTTGAAAGATGCATTTAGGATGGTGTAATTTTTTTTTGAGTTTATGTGCAAAGTGTGAGGTTGTAAAAATGTAAATAGAAAAATATTTACAGGATGTGGAGCCATTTTTTTTCAGTATTGGTAACACCTGTGGTGAAAAATGTTCTACATGTTGAGTTTTTGTAAAACAAACAAACAAACAAACAAACAAACAAAAACATCAAAGCAAGTTAAACTTTTTTTAAATATTAATAACTGAATTTTTAATATTTGTGGCATTATAACTGTAATATACTGCAGAAAAGACATTTCTGAGTTCTCTTGTGAAAAAGAGAGTGAAAAATGAGCCCATTGTAAGTAATGGCAAAAAACACCCAGAAACTTTGGGGTTCAGAGGGTGAAGTTACACTAAGCTAAGTTAATGTAACACCTATTAGTGTTGCATTAAGAAACATTATCTTATCTAAAAAAAAAAAAAAGATAAGATAAACTTTATTGATCCCTTACTAGGGAAATTCACAATGACATACATGGACAAAATGACGATAAATGTTCATACTAACAAACCGTAAAGCACAGTTCAACTTTTTGCAGTTCATTCTTTTGTTTTACGGCCTGAAGCTTAACAGTTTTGCTTGACCACTCTCATTATCCCCTTTTCCAGCTGTAGTCTGCCCAAATAAACTCATTCAAGTCAGTCATCAAAATGTGCCTGATTCTCTGCATTCATCTTTGCTCTGTCTTGCTTCCAGATTCGAAACACCCGCATTGACCTGTTAGAAGAAGAACTTCGTCTCCTTAGGGAGGATATCCAAGACCGCAATACCAGAAACAAATCACTGGAGGACACTGTTGCTCGTTACCAGCTGGAGCTGTCTCAGTCGCAGGACCAGCTGCTGTCCATGGAGGAGGTGAAGCGAAATACGGCCCTCCAGTGCAATGCCACCAAGGACAGCCTTGACAGTACTCAAAGCAAGCTGTCAGAGCTCAGTGATCAGGTGGCACGTCTCCAGTACTTGCTGGACGAAGAAAAGAGGAAGAGGAAGCTAGCAGAGGAGCGCTATAGTCAGCAGCAGGAGGAATATGAATCGGTATTGAAGAAAAGGCAGAACGAGCTGGAGACGGTCAGCTGGTCCAAGATGGACATCGAGAAGAGTGTGGCAAATAAGGATCACGAGATTGAAAACCTGCGGCGGCAGCTGGATGCTGAAGCTGCAAGGGTCAAGGAGCTACAGACAGATATATCAAAGGTAAGGAGCCAATGCAATATGGAGATCAATAACTTAAAGCTCAGCTATGAATCCCAGATCCAAGTCAGTCGCACAGACATCCAGAGGCTGGCGGTCCAGAGGGACGAGGATACAGCTGAGCTTCAGAGGCAGTATGACAGAATGGAGTCAGAGAGAAGGAGTCTGGAGGAGGAGGTCAGGAGGCTTAGGATGTCCAATAACCAGGCTGAGGATCAAAGGAAGAGATTGGAGGAGGAAGCTCACAGTCAACGGGCTGTGATTGTAGAGGAAGGGCGCAGGAGGAGAGAACTAGAAAGTCAGGTGGAGCTTCTGATGAGTCAGAGGGAGGAGGAAAGCAGCGAGTATAGAGAGGAGCTGGCTGAGGTCATGAACACCCTGCAGGAGAAGGGTGACCAGTTGGCTTATGTCACACACAGTCTAGAGGAAGAGACTCGCAGGAGAAAAACCATAGAAGAAGGGCAGGTTGTACATGAACAGACTGTGGCCCAGCTGCAGGTAAAGCTAACAAGCTCATTGGTGGCTACAACCCAGCTGAGGGAGTACGAGGAGGAACTTCAGAAGATACGTTTGGAGCTTGAGAGAGAGAGTAAAGAGCGAAGCAGAGTGGAGCAAAATATGAGTAGGTTACAGTCACGCATCAAAGACCTACAGGCTGTGAGAGATGAGCTGGAGAGCCAGGTGGAGAATTTGAGGAAGGCTACCCAAGAAGAAGTGGCCAGAAGAAGACAGGTTGAAGCAGAGCTGGAAAAGACCACTACAAACATGACAGAGTATACC